GCCTCCCAGACTGCCTGGGGCCACAGCTGGCGGATGGGAAGGCCCCATCATGGTAGAAAGACTAAGGGCTCTGAAGTCAGACACGTGTGGGCTTGAATCTCCCTGTTGCCGCTTTGCTCTGTGACAAGAAAGCCAAGTTAACTTCTCTGGAACTGTTTCTTTGTGCTGTAATTGCAGAGTTTAGCCTGACAGAGGGCAGCCACAAAGACCAGTGCTCAAGAAGTCTGGCTGCCTGACTGTGTGTGAATTCTCACTCAGCTTCTGTCACTCTGCCCTGGACTGCCCTCCACCCAGGCAGGGACTAGGGAAAGGAAGGTTAGGAGGGAGTAGGGATGACTGAGGAAGTTCATAGTCCACGATAGAGCTGCAAAGGATGCCAACTGGATCCTGCCTCAGGGCCTTTGCACCAGCTGTTCCCTCTGCCTGCAATGCAAGTCCTTCAAATACACACACAATTTCCTCCTCCTTTCCCCTCTGATCTTTGCTCTTGTATTAGCTTCTTGGTGGGGCCTTTCCTGACAACCTGTTTCATCTTTAAAATATTTATTTATTATTATTATTTTATTATTTATTTATTTTGGCAATTTATTATTTTTTTTTTCTTTGGCTGTGTTGGGTCTTAGCTGTAGGACTCAGGATCCTCGATCTTCATTGCGGCATGCAAACTCTTAGCTGCAGCATGCGGGATCTAGTTTCCTGACCAGGAGTTGAACCCAGGCCCCCTGCACTGGGAGCGTGGAGTCTTAGCTGCTTGACCACCAGGGACGTCTCCTGACAATCGGCTTTAAAACTGCAACCATCTCCACTCTCCTGGATGCTTCAAATTCCCTTTCTTTGCTTTCTTTGTCTGCCTGGTACAAAGCATGCCTTTTCACTTACTTATCTTGTTTACTAACAGCATCCATCCACACGCGGCTGTCAGCTCCACGAGGGCAGGGCTTTCTGTTTGCCCTGTTTGCTGCTGTCACTTTTATGTCTAGAACAGCACTGGATACAAGTATTTGCTGAATACTCAACAGCAAGAAATCAGGATCCCTGAGAAAGTGAGACCCCAGAAAAGCAAATGGTCACTGTAGCTGGGAGTAGAGATCTTCCAGAAGAAATGTTCTTGGAGCCAAATTGTGAAGGGTGGGGAGGATTTGATGGGGAGCAGTACAGGGAAAGGCCAGATGGAGGGAACAGCCTGGGCAAAGGGATGGTGGCTGGAAAGCTTGAGCAGGAGACAGTGTGGAGATGAGGGCAGCAGGGGGCAGTAGAGAGGAACGGGAAAGGTGGCCAGAGGATAAGATGGTAAACTTGAACCTGTGGCTGGTAGGAAAGCAGGGAGGGGCTTGGTCATAAGGAAGTTGCCAAAATGATGTGATGAGCGACATAGGGCAATGGTGCAAAGGCCCAGTGGATCTTCAAGCAGGTCCTGGGGGACAGGAGTCTGAAGTTGAGAGACAGCGGGCATCTCAGTGGCCTCAGACTCACCTCTGTCTTCTTAAATCGTGCCCGGAGGGTCTTCATAGCTTGCGTCTGGCGTTTCTCCTCTCCCCAGGCCTCCTGAGAAAAGCCAGGAGGTGAGGGACGTCAGTTCTGGGGGCAGGTGGGGCATCTGCCTCCCACTCCTCAAAAGTACCACTTCCTCCTCCCCAGGCCATCCCAGCCCTTAAAGCAGGTCACAGACCTATCCCATCTTCTAACTGCTGTGTATTCTTCATCGGGTCACTTCCCCTCTCTGAGTTTCACATCCCTCTTCCTTAAAATGCAGGAGATAATTCCCTCTGCTTTCCTATGACGTCTCTAACGTAGAGCCTGGCAAACCATAGGTGCTCAGTAAATTCATCCCACCAGTTTCCCCTGTTGCCCAAGTAGATACAAGCTTTTTCTGGCCTTCAAGCTTTTATCTGTGCAGTTATGTCTGCCTTGTCCCCACCCCTCCTCTGGTGAACTCCTATTCATCTTTCCCAGCCTAGTTCCAAAACCCCGTGGTGTTCTGATCAGCTTTGTCTCTTACTAATGGGCAGAATTCTAACTCCCAAATTGGGTCCCCTCAGCTCTTCTTCTGCTCCTTTCTTGGCTCCAGAGGCTAGAAGTGTCTGGACTGGTTCTGTTTTCCTGAAAACTTAGTGGGTCCTCAGGGGCCAGGCACAGAGTTGAGGCCTCTTAGTACAGAGCATGTTCTTTGGGAAGTCAGAGAGAACATCCTTGAGACTAAACCCTTTACACCAGCCTGGCTCCTGGGTGAATAAGAGCACAGAGGTGAGTCATCCAAGGTGGGCTGAGGTCTAGAGTGATTGATGGCTCCATGCATGTGTGTGCACAGCTCAACACAGGGTATGTCTGTGCACACATGTCTGTCCAGCTTAGCCTGTTCTGTGTTTTGTGCACCTGCAGGTACAGAGGTCAGGCAGCGATCTCAAGGGGGTGTTCTGCTGGGTGTCTGGCTAGGAATTCCTTCCTGTGCCAGAGTGGGATTGCTCTAAAGGTGTATCCTTCACCTGTCCTTTCACCTGCCCACCTTCCCATGAATTCTCCAAACCTTCTTTCCACCCATTCACTCACCTATGCAGCCATCCTCCCACCAAGCATTTCTACATCCACCTACTGTCCACCACCCGATCAACTCATGTTCTCACGGTTCTCTGTGCACCCTTCAACCGTGCTTTATCCACCACCCACTCATCATCCACCTGCCTACCCACCCACCTACCTACTCACCTATCCATCCATCCACCCACCATCTACCCACCCATCCATCCAACATCCACCCACCATTCACTGATCCATCCACCCATCGATCCACTCACTCATTCATTCATCTGTGCAACCACTCACTGGCCACCACCCATCCACTCATCCACCCAACTCATCTTTTCATGGTTCTTCACCCTTCAACCATCCTCTGTCCACCATCCACCCACCTGCCTATCCACTCACTCACTCATCTATCCATCCATCCATCTACCATTGACCCACCCACCCAACATCCACTCATCTACTTATTCATCCACCCACCATCCAATCACCCATGCATTCATCCATCCAACCACCCACTGGCCACCACCCATCACCCAACTCATCTTTTTATGGTTCTCCATGCACCCTTCAACCATGCATCATCCACCATACACCCACCATCCAGCTGCCTATCCACCCACCCAACCACTCATCCAGCCATCTATCCACCTCAACTATCCACCCATCCAGCCAGCCAACACCCATCTACCATCTACCCACCCATCCATCCACCCTCCCATCCATCTACTGCCCATCTGTTCATTCACCCCTTCAATTTACCCCATCCATCAATGTACGCATTCACCCACCACCATTTTTCTTTACTCTTGTCTAACAGACTCAATCACACCCACAGCAGGGTGTAATTGACACCCAGGAGAGGAGTCCACAGGTTGTCTGTGCAGGAGGGAAGCTGCCGGCTTGGGGGAGGGGAAAGTACCCTCATCCAGGGAGCTGCTTCCTGGAAGAGGTGATGATATATCCACAGGGCCTGCTGGCAGGGCAGGACATTGAGCTGCAGCAGCAGGAAGAGAGGGTACGAATCCTAGACAAAGAAGTAAGGGGTGCACGCATGAATCAGCGCGCGCGCGCGCGTGTGTGTGAGATGGTGCCTCAGCATGGCTGGGACACACGCTGGCCTTTCCTTTCTCCCACCTGCCAGGGCTTGGGGGGCAAGGAGCCTGAGGCCCTTCGGGGAGCCTCCATCCTGGGCCTCCGTCACCTCCTTCCCTCCTACCTCCTGCAGTTCCAGTGCCGCCAGCACTAGGCCACCGTGTCCACTGCCGGCTCTGGTTACCTGCTCCCAGCCGAGCCACCAGCTCGCACCCGCAGCTCCCAGCACTCAGCCCTGACACCTGATCAGCTCTGAGCAGGCAGCTGCCCCAGGGGGCCAGAGGATGAGCAGAGGGAGGAGACAGGGTGGCAGCCGGGCTGTCTGTTGGCCAAGGAGCTCTGGCGGGAAGACAGGGAGGTTCTTCCCTAACATCGCTGGACTGATTTCAGTTTCTGGAATGAGCCACCTTCTTTCTCTCCTCTCAGCCTTTGTACTTGCAGTTCCTATACCAAGAGCCTTCTTTCTGTACCTCCTGTCACCTCCAACTGGCTGATTTTCACTGGTACTCACTGTTCAGATCGTTGCCACAACACCCCTTCTCCAGGAAGCCTTCCTGGTTGCCCCCAGGCTGGGTCAGGCGCCTCCTCTGAGCTCCTTCATTGCCCAGGGCCCTCATTACATGCCAGTCACACTAAGTCACCATTGCCCCGTCACAGGGGGCTGCCTGTGGTCTCCAGCGTCTCGCCAGCACACAGTAGGTGCTCAATACATTTCCTGAATGAGTCCTCAAGCCTCCACTCCAAGGACATAAGCAGTTTCTCCAGCCTCTTGGTGCAGTCAGGACTTGTCTTGCTGAGTGATTATCACACACCTGGATAATGTTCAGGTAATTTGGAACGGCGTCCGTGAGTCTCCCTAGTGAGGATCCAAATTGCCTCCTGACCCCAGCACACATGCACAGGAACCCTGAATTTCTATATTTATAAACTTCTGAAATATGCAGGGGGAAGAACCCTGGATTGGAAGCAAGAGTTTGGGTTTCCTCTCTCAGGCTCCGTCCCGGGACTGGGGGACGCGGGGAGGGAAGTGGGCGTCAGTTTACTCGTTTTCAAAAAAGGGAAAGAGGGAACCGATCGTTTGCGCCCTTCATTTTACAGGTGACTGGAGAACTCTCACGTGGGCAGTCCCCTAGTATCCACCCCGGGTCACTGAACAACCCTTTCCAAGGCCCCCACCCCACATGATCAGCGCATAAGAACCCGGCGGGCCATTGCCAGCAGTTAATATGGAGACTGCAGCGATAGTGCATGGCTCATGCGCCTTGCGAGGAGCGGCCTGGCACGAAAGATGAGAATACGCTCCTCCTTCTTCCTCGTCCCACCCTATTTCCGGCGGAAGCAGCCGCAACAAGGGAAACTTTATTGTTCCCGTTGGTGCAGTGAGGATGTCGGTGAATTACGCGGCGGGGCTTTCGCCGTATGCGGACAAGGGCAAGTGCGGTCTCCCGGAGGTGAGCGCGTCTGGGGGTGCCGACGGCCGCCGTCAAGGCCGTGGGCTGGGCGGGACCGGCTGGCAGTGGGGCATTGTGGGAATATCAGGAGACACTGAAGCTAGACAATGGGAGGGACTTCCCAGTGAGGAGGGGGCGGGAAGTGACGACCCAGTGCGCCTGGGGATGCGACCACGCCCAGCTCCGGGTCGGTCCGGCTGGGGACGGAGGATAGGACCTACTTCGAGAAGTCCTGAAGTTCTGATGGGGGAAGCAAGGGATGTAGTTCCAGGAGGAAGGCTCCGGGGCAAAGGGCAATAAACAATCTTGGAGGGCACATTTGGCCAGAGAGGTTTCCAAAACTGAGGCAGGATGGGCCTCAAGTGCCAAGTTGAGGAGCTGACACTATCCTGAGGCCGATGAGGATTTTGAGGCTGATGAGGAACCTGGAGTATGGAAATCAGACCCCTCCAGCCTCGCTGAGAGAAGTCCCCGCCATGCATTGAGATCTTGGCGAGATCCCTTCTTTCTGGGTCTCTTTCCCTCCTGTAAACTGGAGAGAAGCTTGCCGCCTCCCACAAAAGTTGGTCCTTTCCTTCTGAGTCAGGCATTCACGAGTTCTCAGATGGTGTGAAGCCCCACTCTTCTCTCATGCCAGTTTTTCCGCTTTATCCCACATTTATTAAGCACCTACGGTGCACCGACGTCGTTCACCCTGGGACCACATGGGGAACCAGACAGGCCAAGCCCCTTCGTTCCAGCTGGGAGACAGATGAGTAGCAAATAAATGCAAGGAGTTAGATAGTGGCCAGCGCTAGGCAGAAAGGCAAAGCAGATGATGAGAGCTGGGGGCTGCATTGAAAACTAGGTGGCTGGTGATAGCCATCACTAAGATAACTCAGCAGTATGAAATACATTTAATGTGCAACCATCACCACCATCCATTTACAAAACTGTCTCCTCTTCCCAAACTAAAACTCTGTCCCCATTTAACAGTGACTCTCCATCCCCTCTCCCAGCCCCGGGCCCCACCATCTACTTTCTCTATGTATCTGACTCCTCATGGGACCTCACATAAGTGAAATCATACAGTATTTGTGTTTTTGTGTCTGTCTGATTTCACTGAGCATGATGTCCTCAGGTTTCATCTGTATTGTATAATATGTCCAAATTTTCTTCCTTTTAAAGGCTGAATAATGTTCCATTGTATATGTTGTTGTTCTTCAGTCACTCAGTCGTGTCCAACTCTCTGCGACCCCGCGGACTGCAGCATGCCAGCCTTCCCTGTCCTTCACTATCTCTCGGAGTTTTCTCAAACTCATGGCCATTGAGTTGGTGATGTCATCCAACCATCTCGTCCACTGTCATCCCCTTCTCCTGCCTTCAGTCTTTCCCAGCATCAGGGTCTTTTCTAATGAGTTGGCTCTTCTCATCAGGTGGCCAAAGTATTGAAGCTTCAGCTTCAGTATCAGTCCTTCTAATGAATATTAACGGTTGATTTCCTTTAGGATTGACTGGTTTGATTGTACATGTAGACCGCATTTGTTAGTATCCATTCATCTGTTAATTGACACGGGGGTTGCTCCCATATTTAGCTACTGTGAATAATGCTACTGTGAACATGAGTGTGCAAGTGAGACAGCTTTTGAGCCAAGATGGAGAGGAAGTGCAAGGGGAGTCATGTCGGTGTCTGGGCAGAGGACATTCCAGGTGGAGGGCTTTGCCTCTGCAAAGCCCTGAGGCTGAACTGTGCCTGGTGTGTTGGAGGAACATCGAGGAGACTTGTGTGGAGTGAGCGAGGGAGAGAGAAGGAGGAGGGGAGAGCAGGGATGGGGCAGGTCCTGCAGGGCCTTGTGGGCCTTGGTGGGGACTTGGGTTTTTCCATTGAGAGAGGTGGGAGCCCTGGAGGGCTGTGGGCAGAGAAAGGACGTGATAACAAGCTGCCTTTTCCCACCCATTCCCCTCCTCCTGGGCAAGGCAGTCTGTGGCTTGTGGCCTTGCCCACTGTGGGACATGTTTCAACTCCTGAAACCATGCAACTCTGAGTAAGACTTGAATCCACGGTTCAGTTGAGATCACACCCTTGTCTTAGGACTTAATGAAGCTCAGTTTCTTTATGTCTCACTGCAGAAAGAATTCAGTGAGAGACAGAGATATGTGCGTGCAGGCATGTTAAGTTGCTTCAGTTGTTTCTGACTCTTTGTGAACCTGTGGGCTGTAGCCCGCCAGGCTCCTCTGACGATGGGATTCTCCAGGCAAGAATACTAGAGTGGGTTGCCATTTTCTTCTTCAGGGGATCTTCCCAACCCAGGGATTGAACCCGTGTCTCTTAGGTCTCTTGCATTGGCAGATGGGTTCTTTACCACTAATGTCTGGGAAGCCCCAAAGTGATAGGTAAGAGGTGGATAGGTAAGAAGTGGGTTTATTTAGAGAGAAACACTCTCCACAGACAGAATGCAGTCTGTCTCAAAAGGTGAGAACAGCCACAGAAAGGGTGTGGGCCATCTCAGCAGGTGAGAAGTTCTGAAATATGGTGTGGTTAGTTTTTTGGAACTGGATAATTTCATAGGCTGGTGAATGGGAGGATTATTCCAATTATTTCGGGGAAGGGGTGGGGATTTCCAGGAATTGGGCCACCACCCACGTTTTAGCCTTCTGAACTGTCATGGCACCGAGGGTGTGTCATTTATCATATGCTGGTGTATTACAATGAATGTATAATGAGGCTCAAGGTCTACTGGAAGGCTTATCTTCCGCCATCTTGGACCTAGTTGGTTCTAATCAGTTTTTGTCACATTTTGTTGATCTCGAGTGGCCTGGGCCTAAAACCGCTTGAAGTGGGGCTTGGGTTCCCAGCCAGAGATTGAGGTTGGGCCAAGGTGGTGAAAACACCATATCCTAACCACTAGACTGGTGGTCAGTGTCAAGGGCCCTGACCCTTCAGCTTTGCAGAAAAGAGTTTCCACAAAGACAGAAAGTAGTGAAGGAAGTAGAGTATTTATTAGGAGGAAAAAGAGTATAATACATATGAATAGACACACAGGTAGACTCAAGGAGAGTCCCTGAGTTGTGCTTCTGTGGCAGTTTAAGTCACTTTTATGAGGCATTTATTCTGGATTTCCTTTGGCCAATCATTTTGATTTGCCTGGTTCAGAGTCCATATTTGGTATATCTCAGGATCCTCCCATACATGCACATGCATCTTTTAGCCTAGATGGATTCTACTATGAAGGCCCATGGGTAGATTATCCTTTGGCATCATTCACCTTTGACCTCCAAGGAGCCTGTCTGCCCATGTGTGATCAGCGAGGTCTCCTGGCTTCAAGAATGAGAAATATGTGATCTGGGCAGGGCCCAGTGCCCTACCGTAATTGTCTTGCTATTCTCACCTTGGAGTTTCTTTGGAGCACTGGGAATGAGTCTCCAATTGGTTAACCATTAAGGTTGGGGGGCGGTATGTACCTCCTGCCTCACTGTGGCTCTATCATTCTTCTAGGAAATGGCAACCCACTCTAGTATTCTTGCCTGGAGAATCCCCATGGAGAGAGGAGCCTGGCAGGCTGCAGTCCATGGGGTCGCACAGAGTCGAACATGACTAAAGAGACTTAGCACCTGCCCCACTCCCTTCTGTTTCACTCCCTGCTGCTCTCCCTCACCCAACAGGTCTTCGACCCCCCTGAGGAGTTGGAGAAGAAGGTGTGGGAGCTGGCACAGCTCGTCTGGCAGTCCTCCAATGTAGTGTTCCACACAGGCGCAGGCATCAGCACTGCCTCAGGCATCCCCGACTTCAGGTCAGCAGGCAGGGTGGGATGTTGAGGCAGGGCCTTCCAGGCTGCCACAGCCTTCCCTGTGAGCTCACCAGATGAACAGGCATCAAAGCCCATCCTGCTGCCTTCCCTCCCAGTGAGTCTAGGGTGACCCATCAGTCCCCTAGGGTGTTGGGGATGTGTAAGACCCTTCCTTCAAAGCAGATCCCTTTATATCACACCGAACATTGCCTTCCATTGGTCAGAACTTGGTCATGTGACTGTACCTAGTTGCAAGTGGTGCTGGGAAACATAAATCTTTTGTCTAGGCCCACTGTGCATGGCTAAATATTGGGTTCTATTATTACCATAGAAACCATCCAGACCTCAGTTTCCTCACCTGCAAGTGAGGGTGTGAGACCAGATAATGTCTAACTTCCCTCTATTTCAGGCAGCCTATGTTAGACAAGAGTCTCGTTGCTGAAAAGCAGGGGTCTCAAACTTGTGGCCTCCAAGTGGCCCCTGGAGGTGTGAAGTTTGCAACCCCACCCAGATGGGCAGGCCTGTTGCACTTGTATTCTCTTTCTGAGGCCTCTCAGGCCCCCAGCACAGACTCTCACAGCAGAAAAGCAGATTCCTTGTCTGGAGGAGTGTTAAAATTCTAAGGTGTGAATCTCATCCCCTTTTCATAACCTGCCATAGCTCCCCATTGCCACACTTCAGAGTTCCAAGCACTTCGGGCTGGAAATCAAAGCCCTTCCCCACCTAGCCTTGGTTCAGCTCTCCAACCTCAGCCCCTGCAGCCCCCAGACTGTCTGAATAGCCCTACCCTTTCCTCTCTGTTCAGAGACAGCTCTGCCTCCTCCAGGAAGCCTTCCCAGAGTCCCACAAAGAGCCCTTACCATTTCCACTGGGCCAGCCCAGCCCTGGGTTGCTCCCTCTGTCCTGGCCCCTCAGAGGACCAGAGTGTCTGTGTCCACCTGTGTCTCTTCCCCACAAGATGGAGAACTCCATGAGTGCAGGGTCTGGGTGCACTTGGGCCCCCGCATCCCTCAGTGCAGGGCCATGGACTCCCTGAGGGCAGGGCCTGGGTGCACTTGGGCCCCAGCATCCCCCAGTGCAGGGCCATGCCAAGTACAGCAGCAGTAAGTGCTGGGTGAGTTGAATAATTAATTTCTGCTTTCATGTACCAGGTTCTCCCTCTTTCCTACCTCACCTCCTTTGTCTGTATCAATCTTTCTCTGACTTTTTCTCTGCCTGTTTCTCTCTTTTTCTGTCCTCTCCTTGATCTCTAAACTCTGTCTCTTCCACCTGCCACCGCAGGGGCCCCCATGGCGTCTGGACGATGGAGGAGCGGGGCCTGGCCCCCAAGTTCGACACCACCTTCGAGAATGCCCAGCCCACAAAGACCCACATGGCGCTGGTGCAGCTGGAGCGCGTGGGCCTCCTGCGCTTCCTGGTCAGCCAGAACGTGGACGGACTGCACGTTCGCTCCGGCTTCCCCAGGTGCCCCCAGTGTCAATCTCCCTGCCCTGCCTTGAGCAGGCCACCCCTCTCCCTGAGCCTCAGTTTCCCTATCTAGAAAATGGACGTTGATGGTGGCCCCTCCCTCTCCAGGCCCCTGGGGCAGTTCAGCGAGGCAGCCAGGGAGGGTGGGCGCTCAGCTGTCAGCTCTCAGTCGCACCGGGAGAGCTGGGTGGGGTCCCCTCTTTCTGGTCCTGGGAGGATTCCAGCCCTGAGCCCTCTGGATCTTGGCTGGCTGGGGATCAGGGGATCCTGCTCCTCCATTGAGCCTCTTCCTTCTTCCCCCACAGAGACAAGCTGGCAGAGCTCCACGGAAACATGTTTGTAGAAGAATGTGTCAAGTGTAAGACGTGAGTGCCACTGCGGGAGAGGGCGGGACACAAGGCATGGATGACCCAGGTTGGGCTCCCCAAAAGGTCCTGATGAGCTAAGCCTGCTGCTTCTAGAGTCAGGGGTGTGACCCTTCCAAGGTGGGATCTGGGAATGTAGCTTCCTCCTGGGAGGTGTGTTCATTTCCTGCAGCTGCCGAAACAACCACAAACCTGAGTAACTTAAAAACAACAGAAATTCATAATCTTACGGGTGTGGAAGCTTCAAGTCCAACATCAAGGTGTTGGCAGGACCATGCTCCCTCCACAGAGTCTTAACCACTAACCTACCAGGGAAGTCCCCAGGCCAGCTTTTTCCTGGAAAGCCCCCTCTGCTTCCCCCACCCCCACCCCCTGCTGGGTTTGCCAGCTGTCACCTCATGTTTAGATTCTGGTCTTATGCTCCCGCACTTTCCTGGGAAAACAGCTCTGTGCAAAAACCATGAGCTGCCCAGATGGGCTGCAGAGTGGGTGCCTGGGAACCGGCGGTGAGCCAACCCTTTCCTCCTTGACACAGGCAGTATGTCCGAGACACCGTGGTGGGCAGCATGGGCCTGAAACCCACGGGCCGGCTCTGCACCATGGCCAAGTCCAGGGGGCTGCGGGCCTGCAGGTGAGTGACCCCTCCCCATGCCCTGGACCCCAGGGGAGGCCGCCAGTCTCCTGCTGACTCCCCTGACCTCCCTACAGGGGGGAGCTGAGAGACACCATCCTGGATTGGGAGGATTCCCTACCTGACCGGGACCTCACCCTGGCCGACGAGGCCAGCAGGTCTGACCCCAGTGGGTCCCGGGTGCGGTGGGTGGGGAAGGGGCAGAAACAGCCAGCTCCACTCCCGAGGGACCTCAGGAAAGGATTCCAGAGAGGAGTGATCAGCACCCTGTCTGGGCCTCACTTTGCCCATAATAGCTCTGGTGCTGAGCCCTCACATACCATCCTCACCACACCCCAGGAGGTTGCAGTGTGTGGCGGAGCTGAGGCTGGAGCTACTGGACTCCTCCATCCAGGCTGCCCAGCCCAGCAGTGACTGAGCCAGGATCAGCAGCCAGGAGTCCAAGTATATGGTGCTCCCCACCAGCAGCTCCACTTCTGCTGACAGGGTTGGGGGTGGCCCAGCAGAAGGGAAGCGTCAGACGCAGGCCATGGCCGGGCCCCCAGCAGAGGTGGGTGCTGTGTGAGCAGGTCTCCCAGGATTGGCCCCGTTGTGTTGGCAGAGCAGTGAAACCATGATGTTTGAGCAAGGGTCGGGGAGTGTGTGTGCTGGCCACCACATGTCCTGGCCTTGTGGGGCAGGAGGAGGGCTGCAGAGACCCTTGCCAAGGGGCTTAGACTAATCCCACCTCCTGGCCCCAGGAATGCAGACCTGTCCATCACACTGGGCACCTCCCTGCAAATCCGGCCCAGCGGGAACCTTCCCCTCGCCACCAAGCGCCGTGGAGGTCTCCTGGTCATTGTCAACCTTCAGCCCACCAAGCATGTACGTGTGGGAGCCTACCCCTGATATCACCCCACCCCTGATATCACCCCTGGACCCCCCTCAGGCCTTCTCCCTCCACCTGACTGGTCCCCACCTCCACAGGACCGCCACGCAGACCTGCGAATCCACGGTTATGTTGATGAGGTCATGACGCGGCTCATGAAACACCTGGGCCTGGAGATCCCGGCCTGGAACGGCCCCCACGTGGTGGAGAGGGCACTGCCGCCCCTGCCACGCCCACCTGCCCCCAAGCTGGAGCCCAAGGAGGAGGCCTCCACCCAGCTCGACAGCCCAGTGCCCGCCAGCCCCAAGCAGGAGCCCACAGCTGAGCCCTGCGCCCAGCACAATGGTTCCGGACCAACCAACCCCAAAAGGGAGTGGCCGGACAGCCCTGCCCCTCGCAGGCCTCCCAAAAGAGTGAAAACCGAGGTGGTTCCTAGCTGACCAGGGGCCTCGGGGAGGACAGGGTTTTTTTTTTATAGAAACCATGGGTTCTTTTTCTTTTTTCTTACTGGTCTCACTTTGTTACTCATTTCTGTCCTTTGGGGGAGATCTCAGGGTGCTGAGAGCTGGGCTCCAGGCTGGGGGGCAGATTTGCCATCCACTGGACCTCCCTTTAACTTGGAGCCTATGGAGGGGGCTTGGCAAGGAGCATCCCTGCCCCGGATCCTGAACTTGGAGGTGATAACCCTGCACGTGCTCCACCACCAGTCTCTAGCCCCTAACTCAGGGTGTTCTTGGAAGGTGTGACCAGGGCCTCTCTGATTTCCAGCCTAAAGAGGAATCAAGCCTGTTTGTCTCCTGGACCCTCACACTCTCCAGTCCCTGCCTATCCCCACACAGCCTTCACAGCCCCTCTAGGAGGGAGGGGACACACAGCCACCATTTAGGAGCCAAACTTCCTGGCAGGACAGACAACAGAGGCTCACACTGCCTTTGTGGCTGGAGGGAGACAAGTGGGTCTACCTGACTTCCTTCAGTCTTCCAGAAAAGCCTTCAATGCAATAAAAGCAGAATTTCTTGCATCTTGAATCTGTGTTTACCATCTACAACCTTGCCCAGGGTCCAATCCCTGGGGGTAGGACTGTGTGGTGCCTGCGGCCCCTGGTATGTGTGTGCGCTGGGACATTCATGCAGTCCAGGCCTGGCAGTGAAGGAAGTCCTTACCAGCTGTTGACATTCCTTGAGTCCTCCATTTGTAAATATTATTTCTCTGATTCTTTAATACATGCCCTCTGCTACTAGGCTGTGAGCCCCTCGAGGAGAGAGGCCGCATCTTCTAATCGCGATTGCAAATTCCCCCACCCGACCCCACATCCCCACACCTGCGCAAAGCCTTCAGGGATCCGGTTGTGACTCTTTAAAGGAAGAACGTGGGTGCAGCTGGGGTCCATGCTCCCCAGCTGTGACCTTGGGCGAGTCCCTTCATTCCCGACGCTTCAGTCTCCTCATCCATAAGACGAGCCGGGTGGGCAGCCTAGCCCCCCAGGAAAGCAGCTGCCACAGGCCTTCCGCGGACTCCCTTGAAGGGTCTGGGGCGGGGCGGGGAGGGGCCCGAGCTGTCAGAACCTCGCGCTCCTGGCGCGCCCTGCCCTCCACCAGCCACCGCTCTCCAAGGTCCTGAAGGCAACCCTGGCGCCTCTCGTCGCCGCTCCAGCCTTGGGGTCCAGGGACTCCCCCACGTCCCTCCTCTATCTTTGGCTGGCCCAGTCCTTCCTTCTGTGGGTTGAGGAGCCCCAGACTCAAATTAGCCGCCACCCCACTCCACCTCCACGCCAGCCGTGTTCTGCCAAGATACTTTATTAAGGATCATGGCAGTATAAAAAAAGGAAAAGGAAAGGGTCATGGCAGCGCCGAAGTTTAGGGCTCATCCCGTGCTCTGGGGCCAGGGTGCCTGCAGACTTGGCTGCTTTTCCCCCCGTGTGTGCGAGGGGGCAGGGAGGAGTCCCCAGGGTCGGGGTAGGGGGGTAGTTATTGAGGCCTGGTGTACATTGATCTGTCTAGGTCGGGGATCAGTCTCTGTGTGTGTGTCCCTGTTTCCTTCTGCACCTGGGTCTGCATCTAGATTTCTCAGGCTTTGTGGCCTTATGGTCTGTGTCTGAGAATCAGTTTCGGTGTGTACCTGGGTCCCTGGGTCTGTAGCTGTGTATCTGTGCATCTCCATCCTGATACCTTCTCCAAGGTCTCTCTCTCACCTCGGATCCCCACGCCTGTCCCTGTCCACTACAGCACCTATTGAAGCACCCCTGAATAGAGGGGCCAGGGTGGAGAGGGGGGCAGGGACCCATGGTGCTCACAGCTCCCCCCCTGCTGTCTCCAGCCCCACGCGGCCCGGGCTGACTGCTGGCTCAGGCGGGGCACAGTCCAGTAGGGTGGCCTGGTCCAGTTCCTTCACGGAGTTGCCCTGGACCAGAGTTGAGTTGTCCAGATCCTCTGTTGAGTTGTCCAGAGCACGTGTGTCCTGGGATTCCCATTCCCCAGGAGGGCTGCCTGGAGACCTTTCCTGAAGTGCGCCAGTGCTGGGCCCAGGTCCGGGGGCCTCGGAGCCTGGTGCAGCGTCGGGAGCCACCCGGGATGCAGCGTCGTTGTGTAGAGTTCTGGAGAAAACTGAGCAAGGGGCGGGGGAGGCTCATGAGGGATGGCCTGAGGGCCAGTTCCCTTCTTTCCTTAGCCCCCAGCCTCAGGGAGCACTTGCAAGGGGGCCCCTTCCACTCCCCCAGTGGGGACTGGGGAGCCAAGGGGAATGTGCCCCAGAGGGGTTTTGAAGGAAAAGCAAACCCGAGTCCACATACCTCGCACAGGTGCGAAGTCTCCGGGGCTCTCGGCTCTGTTGGAGGCGAAAGGGCTGATGGAGGGGAGGACGATGAGGGCGAAGGAGAAGAGCAGGACCTGGTGGAGATGTGGGTGGGGTCACCCCATCCCTCCCCAACCCCTGAGCATGCTTATGCAGGAAAACAGAGGCCCAGAAGACTAGATAGTGCTTGACACGGCACTCAGGGCTCTGCTCCTATTCATGCTCTCCTCCCCCACAGGCCCCTCTGCCAAGGTTGAGGACACCCCCCCACTCAGAGCTGGGGGTCAGGACTCACTGCTATGCAGGTGCCCGTCTGTGCCGATTTGCTGGTGGACTGGACCACAATGGCCTGGAGTTTCTTCAGCTGTTCCAAGAGAGACCTTAGTGGAAATGGGAAGCCTTGGCTGAGTCCTTCATGGCCTTGACCTGGCTCCCTGTCCATTTCTAGGATCTCCCAGCCTGGCTGAGGTCTGAGTCTTATCCACCCCTCAAGGCTCTACTGCTATTAAAAGTCCCAGAAGCTCCCTCAAAAAATCTCCACTGAACATCTCACCCACTTTTCTGACACCCAGCCTCCTCCATCTAGGTTGCAATCATCGCCCACCTGGACACCAGCCCCTACCTCTGGTCCCCTCAAGGCTCTTGTGCCCCCTCTAGGGTTCATACTCCACACTTTTCAAATGTGATTCAACTCCCAGCCCTCCAGGTTCCCACCTCCTTTGGGGTAAAAGCCTGAGTCCTCACTGCTGCCCACAAGGCCCTGCACGACCTGCCTCATCCCCTCCCTCTCTCTTCTCCCCCAACAACTCTGCCCCTCACTCACACTGCTCCAGCCACACAGTCCCCTTATTGTTCCTCCTACACACAAGTATTCCTGCCCTAGGGCCTTTGCACTAGCTGTGCCCTCTGTACCAAGGACACTGTTCCTCCCCACAGGTCTTTTTGTAACTGCTTCTTTCTTATCTGTTGGATCTCATCTCAAATGTCACCTTATTGACCTCCCTGCCTAAAATAGCCCCCTTCACTCTCTAGCCCCTTCCCCCTAGTTTATTTTTCTTCCGAGTGGCTATCTCTGTTTGAATGATCTTTTACATTGTTTTGTTTGTCTTAAGTATGCGTCTCACTAGAGTATGAGTCTTTTAAGTGGAGGGACTGTATCTGTTTTGCTCACTATTGAGGTATCAGTACCCAGAACTACTCCTGGCACTGAATAGATGCTGATAAAAACTGACTTAGTACATGTACCCCATAGATGGAATCACCTGCAGTTCTCCAGCACACCACACTTCTAGCCTTTGGCCATTCATATGCCATTTCTTCCACTAGCAGCACCTTCCCTCTACTGAACTCTTATACATCCTTCAAGGGCCCAAGTCTAAATCCCCTCTTCTATGCAGCCTGCCCCCTCTCTGGGTAGAATCCTCACCTTCTGCTCTGCCCTGCCATCACACAGTCTGTCCCCGCTTGTCCACCTCTCCTGCAAGAGACTCCAGGGTCAGCTTCCCCCTGTCCTCAATCCCGATCACACCAAAACTCACAGGTTCTGCTTTTCGAGATGCAAGACCTTCCTCTGAAGCTCCTGATTCTGGGCAGTACAGGCTGACATCCTGCAAATGCAACATCACAGTGACATTCAGAATATGCCTGTCACCCCTACAGATCCCGAGAGCTGCAACTGCTGAAGCCCGAGAACCTAGGGCCCAAGCTCGGCCACAAGAGAAGCGACCTCAGGAGTTCCCTGATGGTCCAGTGGCTAGGACTTCATGCACTCCCAATGCAAGGGGCCCAAGTTTGATCCCTGGTCGAGGAACTGGATCCCATATGCTGCAACTAAGAACTCACACAGCCAAATAAATATTTTTAAAAAGAAGAAGAAAGAGAAGCCACTGCAATGAGATGCCCACACATCACAACTAGAGTGTAGCCCCTGCTTCCTGCAACTAGATAAAGACCACGCACAGCAGTGAAGACTCAGCACAGCCAACATAAATAAATAAATTTATTTAAAAAAAACATTCAAATCGTGGCATGAGGATATGTTAGTATCCAAGGAAGAGAATAAATTCCCCCACTAAAAGGCCCTCCTAAATAACTCATGGGATAAAGAAGAATCTGCAGTGTAAAGTATGGAAGACCTAGGAACCAAGTAATGACAACATACAAATCAAGATGTGTGAGATGCAGCTAAAGAAGTGCTGAGAGGAAAATGGATAACCTTATTACAGTTTAAGCAGCTGAACATGTGCTGTGTGTGCTGTGCTCAATCGTGCTCTTTGCGACCCCATGGACTGTAGCCCGCCAGGCTCCTCTGTCCATGGGGATGCTCCAGGCAAGAATACTGGAGTGGGTTGCCATGCCCTCCTCCAGGAGATTTTCCCCACCCAGGGATCAAACCCAGGTCTCCTGCATTGCAGGCAGATTCTTTATAGTCTGAACCACTGGGGAAGCCTGCAGCTGAACATAAATGTTTAAAAATCAGCAAAAGAACAACAGAATAAACTCACTTAAAAAAAATGAAAGACAATAAAGTTAAGAGTAGAAATAAAGGAACTAGTACACAAAAACACAATTGAGTGGGAGGAAAAGTCAGAAATTCATTCTTTGAAAACAATAACTAAAACAGACAAAGTTCTGGCAAGATTGCTCAAGATAAAAAACAAGGGAAGGTACAAATACACAACATGAGTTATTACAAAGGTCCCAACTATAAGTCATTCAAAGCTTAAAAAAATAATGGGAGAGAACTATGAATTATCTTATGTCAATAAATTTGAAATGGACAACTTTTCAGAAGAATGACACATCCCAAAATTGACTAGGGAAGAAATAGAAAATGCAGAAAGACCTGTAACATTTACTAAAATCACTTTTGGTTTAAAAAGTGAGTGAACTAAGTTTTTATGTTTCCTACCCTGATGCTGGGAAAGATTGAGGGCAGGAGGAGAAGTGGATGACAGAGGATGAGATGGTTGGATGGCATCACTGACTAAATGGACATGAGTTTGAGCAAGCTCCAGGAGGAGGTGAAGGACAGGGAAACCTGGTGTGCTACAGACCATGGAGTTACAAACAGTCGGACATGACTCAGCGACTGAACAACAACACATTAAAGAATAACGAGGACCCTGTCAGCATCCTGCATGAGTTTAGGGAGGTAATTGGATGGGATTAGAGTGCACAGGCATTAGAAGAAATTGAGACAGTGACAGACTTTATTTTCTGGGGCTCCAAAATCACTGCAGATGGTGACTGCAGCCATGAAATTAAAAGACGCTTACTCCTTAGAAGAAAAGTTATGACCAACCTAGACAGCATATTAAAAATCAGAGACATTATTTTGCCAACAAAGGCTCCGTCTAGTCAAAGCTATGGTTTTTCCAGTAGTCATGTATGGATGTGAGAGTTGGACTATAAAGAAAGCTGAGTGAGAAAGAATTAATGCTTTTGAATTGTGGTGTTGGAGAAGACTCTTGAGAGTCCCCTGGACTGCAAGGAGATCAAACCAGTCAATCTTAAAGGAAATCAGTCCTGAAGATTCATTGGAAAGATGATCCTGAAGCTGAAACGCCAATACTTTGGCCACCTGATGCGAAGAACTGACTCATTGGAAAAGACCCTGATGCTGGGAAAGATCGAAGGCAGGAGGAGAAGGGGATGACAGAGGATGAGATAGTTGGATGGCATCACCGACTCGATGGACATGAGTCTGAGCAAGCTCCGGGAGTTGGAGATGGACAGGAAAGCCTGGCATGCTGCAGTCCGTGGGGTCACAAAGAGTTGGACACGACTGAGCTACTGAACTGAACTGAGAGTGCACAGTTCTTAAGTTGAGGAAGTTCCTCCTTCCTTCCACTCCCTGGAAGGAAGCCATGACAGCTCTGAGGACCAGAAAGGCTCAGACAAGGGAATAAATGTCCCACCTACAGGCAAAGAGCCAGGACATAACCTCCCTTCTTGGCATAACATCATCTAGGGCAGCAGTCCCCAAACTTTTTGGCACCTGGGACCAGTTTCAGGGAAGACAGTTCTTCCATGAATCTGGGGTGTGGAGGGGATAGTCTTAGGATGATTCAAGCGCATTACAATTAATTTTCACTTTATTTCTCTTTTTTGGAAATCTCAGGATATTCTGCCTTGACTTTAGGGTTAGAGTCTGTGCTTCCAGGAGAATCTAGTGCCACTGCTGATCTGACAGGAGGTGGGGCTAAGGCGGTAATATAAGGTGGGGAGCGACTGTAAACACCATTGCCCTCTTGCCTGCTGCTCACCTCCTGCTGTGTGGCCTGGTTCCTGACAGGCCATGGATTGGTACCAGTCCGTGGCCCAGGAATTGGGGACCCCTGTTCTAGGGGTTTAAGGGGCCTTAAAATTGAGCCCTGTACCACCTCTAGGCATTTTTCTGTCCTTGCAATTCACATACAAAATGGTCGCTCCCATGGGGCACAGTGGTAAAGAATCCACCTGCCAACGCAGGGCACTCAGAAGACATGGGTTCGATCCCTGGGTTGGGAAGATCCCCTGGAGAAGGAAATGGCTACCCAGTCCAGTATTCTTGCTGGAGAATTGCACGGACAGAGGAGCTTGGCAGGTTGCAGTTCATGCAGAGTCGAACGCGCGCGCGCACACACAAACACACACACACACACACACACACGCAGACTGTGACCTTTACTCTACCGCCTGCCTCTCTCAGGCCTCAGTCCCCCCCGCCCCGCCCCGAGTGTGGGGTCCTGGGTCCCCAGCCTTACCGAGTCTCCAGGCCGTCAATGTATTCCTTCTTCTTTTTCCGGCTTTCTTGAGCTGACTGCTTGTTTCGGATTTTCCGGCGGATCTTTTTCAGCACTCGCTCCTCGTACTGCAGAGTGACATGGGGAGGAGACTGAGTCAGTCTGAAGGGTTCACTCTCTTGCCCAGACCCCACAATTTCACCCCCGGTATCCTCCCAAGGGAGCCAGACTCAGGGACTTGAGGGCAGACCCCTCATGGCTTGAAGGCCGGATTTTCTGTCCTCAGATTTCTGCAGTCTCTAGTGGTGGTGGGGGCGGGGGGTGGGGAATGGGGATAGTCCTGGTTTCCTGATGATCTTCCCTGCTCCCAATCCCAGTTCCATTTTTAACAACTAGGTTTTGTGCACTGGTGCAATCGCGCCACCGTCTGGCCATGTGTGGGATTGGCGCCTTTTCCCAAGGCAGTTATCACTAAGAGAAGTCTTTCAATTGGGAAAGGCAAACTCAGGTATTGATGCTGAGTGAACAGGCTGAGTGGAGGTCGCAGCCAGCTAGAAAGCCCCCAGTGTGTTGGCTTTGAGGATGAATTTTCTGGCTCTGGTGACGGACACATCCTAACATTCTAGTTGTGTGTGCAGTGCTTAGGCACTCAGTCGTGCCCGACTCTTTGCGACCCCACCGACTGTAACCCGCCAGATTCCTCCGTCCATGGGAATTCTCCAGGCAAGAATAACTGGAGTGGGTTGCCATGCCCTCCTGCAGGGGATCTTCCCAACACAGGGATCGAACCTAGGTCTCCAGCATTGCAGGCGGATTCTTTACCATCTGAGCCACCAGTTAGGGAGACCTAAACGTGAGACTCAGGCTTCCCAGGTGGTGCAGAAGTAAAGAATCCACCTGCCAATGCAGGAAATGCAAGAGACATGAGTTCGACCCCTGGGTCGGGAAGATCCCCTGAAATATGGAGTGGCAACCCACTCCAATGTTCTTGCCTGAAAAATGAATGCCATGGACAAAGGAACCTGGTGGGCTACCATCCATAGGGTCGCAAAGAGTTGGACACGACTGAGCGTGCGCACACACACACATGCACACAAAGGTGAGACTCATGGGCATGTTGCTGCAGGAAATAGGATGAGGCCCAGGGCCAGGGGTCCCACTGACTCACCTTGGTAAGGGGCAGCTGAGTGGGCAGAGTGATGCCTTCTTTGGCTAGTAGCTTCTTCTCATCCTCTGTCAGCACCAGCTCCTGGCAGTGCCCAGTCCCAGGTTGCAACAGGTGGGGGGCTGCCAGCTGATGTTGCTGCTGTGGGGAAACCAGGAGAACTGCTTTGGGGGCAGAGACAGTGACTGCCTCTGGGAAATAAAAGGCATCGAGAAATAATTGATCCAGTCGCTATAGGGTCCACACCGGCACTAGGGCTCCCAAGAACCAGCCCACAGCCCTCTGATGCAGCCATTCCATTTCCAGGAATTCATCTCACAGATACAAGTGTGGGTTTTTTGTTTGTTTGTTTCACAAATAGTCATTTGACAGTTATGTGTTTAGCACCTACTATAGGCCATGCACTGCTCTGGGCTCTGAACATTCCTCACAGCTCTTGTCTGCAACAGCAAATGGAAAATCCAACAAACAGGGTGTAGGATAAGTGAGCCTCCAGGAAAAGACGGTGAGAGGTGGTTCTCCCCGTGTACCTGTTTGTACCTTTGGAACTTGGACTGTATGCATGCCTTTGACTATTCAAAAAATTATCAAACTAAATTTAAATCATGAAATAGAAACACTGAAAATGAAAGAACTGTGTCATCAGACAGCCAAGTCCTAGGAATGTCACACCAGGGCTCAGGAATAAAGGTAGAGGTTGGGGCAGTCTGCTATCTATCGGATCAAACTCCAATCCCTGGAATTCCAGGCCATTGATGAGTCCAGCCATTTTCTCTTCAGGGCTCAAACCTCAGTGTGTTCATCTGCAATGTGGAAATAAGGCCTCCCACTTCCAAAAGTTGTTCACACACAGAACAATGATATTGAACTTGTTATTTTTACAAAATCCAGTTAGCATTTCCAAAGCAGTCATTGTCTTTCCTATCCCTCAAGACCTGCTGAAGTTCTGTCTTCTCCAGGAAGCTTTCCTGGACCTGCAATGCCCCTCTAGCCTCTCTCCCTTATGGATATACTTCCCTAAGCAGTCATTGTCCCCTCTTGACCATGAGGTCCCCATAGACTGGGTACACAACTGACGCTCACCTCAGATCTCTCAAGTCAAGAGGGGTGTTCTGGTCTTTTTTAGAGGTTGTCAGGACAACTTGAGGCATCAGGAGTTCAAATCCTGACTTGGCCACTTGCTTGTTGTGTGACTTTGGGTCTGTGGCTTAGCCTCTCTGGGGACTGGTTTTCTCATCTGTGAAAGGGAGCAGGGCACTAATTGGGTTCTCAGGCCTGGTTTGCCCATAGCGGAAGCTCCAGACAAGATAGGAGAGCCCAAGGTAAGCATACAATGGGCACAATAGACCCAATAGGTCAGCTCAGGAATTGAGCCTGCAGCAGCTGTGTGATTTAAGGCAAATTACTAAACCTCTCTGTGCCCACTTCCTCACATGTGAAATTAAGATAATAGCCTCAGTTTTCAGGGTTGCTTTGAATTAAAAGACCTGGAACCAACACCAACCCCTGTCTGTGACTGTCTTCCAGTTTTCAAAATGGGTGTATTGGGGCCCCATGAGCCCCAGTGCCTCTCCCAGTTCTGATGCTCCAGGGGGCAGGTGGGGGCTGCTCACCAGGTCCCCGCTGCTGCAGGAGAGGAGGAGGTCCTTGACTGTGAGGTTGTGACATGAGGGTGAGTCAGCCAGGTCAGTCTGCTCCTCGGCATAGACGCCTGGGCTCCACATTTCTAACAGCGCACATGGGGATGGAGACAGGGGTGGGGGTCAGGCAGGGGACCTCGAGCTCCCAGGCAGCTCCCTACCTGCCTCCTCCAGTAAAGCCCCCAGCAGTGACCCTAATGTGCTAGGCATTTGTTGCGTGGCTTGGGACCCCAAGACCAGGTGCCTCAATCTCCCCTCTGTCATAAGACGGGGACCCCAGTTCATCAGGATGTTGTTAGGGACCCATGGCCAGCCCAAGAGGGAGTGGCTGTTATCACTCAGGATTAGGGGCTGAATCTGCAGCCGGCTGGGCCTTATCTCCTCCTGGGGGCAGGGACCAGTTCTGATTCACCCGCAGTTCCCTCCCACCAGCTACCTGGCACCCCATAGGTGAGCTGCTCTGGAGAGCACAGTCTTCCGAGTCAGATGGCCCTTGCTTCTAATCCCAACTGGGTGGAGCCGTGTGACCTTGGGTAAGGGAGTAAACCTCTCTGAGCCTCAGTTTCTCAAGTCTCCAATGGGACTAATAAGCACTCCCACCCTATCGCGGGGCTCAAAAAAAGACGGGATGCCCTCTTGGTGGAGTCTTCTGCATCAGGCCTTTCCCCAGGTCCAGGGGAGCACCCCAAGGCCTGGGATCCCACGATCTCACACACTTTCATTGAGTCTCCTATGAACTAGACATGGAAGGCATAAAAACTGAGGTTGCCAGCGCAATGCTTGAGGCAGACTGCATCCCAGCTCTGTGGCTCTGACTCATCTCTTAACCATCCAGAAAATGGGTCCATGACAACACCCCAGTACCCATCTCAAAGGGTGGATTTGTGCATTCAGTGCCCGGGACAAGGTGAGGGTAGTTGGCTGACACAGGACTCACCCAGGTCTATAGCCACAGAAGTCTCAAGCCTTTGGGCCACTGGCCCGAGGTGCCTGGCAGGGCAGGTGGGGCCAGGATGGTAAGAGGGGCAGGGCCCCTCACCAGACTCCACACTATGGCAGCTGGCAGGGGTGGCAGGCACCCCACCGCGTGGAGGCGTGTCCTGGGGGTCAGAGGGCAGATCTTCTGAGATGCCACTGTCACTGGCCGCGGGGGACCAGGTTGGGGAATCTGAATCTCCAGAACCCAGGATGGAGTTGAGGAAGTCATCAGAGTCCGCGCCTGGCAGGACCTGTTGGGACAGAGAGCACCGGTGGGAATTAGGAGGTCTATGCTTTGCTTCGCATTGCTGTGTGTCTCTGGGCAAGCCGCTGACCCTCTCTGGGCCTCACGCGTCCTTTCTGCAGTGTGGAAAGAGCTAATGTTCCTTGCCCACTGGCGTTGCTGGAACCTGAACACAATCGTGTAGCTCGGGAACAACATCAAACTGTGTCGAGCGAGGAACAAGCCCCAAGTTTAAGTCTGGAGCCAACTTCAAATTGCTGTGTGACCCAGGTCAAGTTACCACCCCTCTCTGGGCCTTGCTTTCCACACCTTTAAGAAGGAGGCAATGTCACCTGGCCCTTAGGGTCGCTGAGAGGTCTTATACAACAATGTGCTTTCTAAAATCACACTTGTGCGTGGTAAAGGCACAAAGCTGAGTGGAGTCCCGGCTCTGACCTGGGGGGGTGGGGGTGGGGACAACGCATTGGGTTATCACCTGGTCCTCCCCACGGCCCCAGTCTTCTCCCAGCTCTACGTGTCTCAGAACGCCATCCTGCCGGTCAAACAGTAGATCCAGGAGCTCCAGGCTGTCGATAGGGCCCATGGGACTGGTGAAGGAAGCCATCTGGGGCGAGGAGGGGACACCTCTGAGGGTCATGCAGCCCCTCTCCTGCCCACCGCCCATCTGCCACCACCCGAGGTACCTTCCCCTCTGCTTCAGTCCCTGCTGCAGCCCCCAGGTCGGCTTGCCCCTCCTGCCTGCTGGGCCTCAATCTCCAAATCTCTGTTGTGGGGACAACCCAGAAACTCCCTGGGCCTAGCAGCCAGTTTCTTTAAAAAGCGCTAGATAGCTGCCCTAGTGGGGATGGTCAGTGGATGAAGCTGGCCCCCTCTTGCATTCCCATCCTGTCCGAATCCCCCCTCACACCCTTTTCTGGAAGGCAGGGAGGCCCAGAATAAAGTCCAGGAGCAGCCTGGAATAGAGGCACAATCTTAGTCATTGTGTTCTCCCTCTGGGTCTCAGTCTTCCCATCTGTACAATGGGGTGTGAGGTGCCTGCCAATTCTGGGAGCTTGGGGAGAGTTCCTGGCATAAATCGTCCCTCCCCTGGGGACCCGTGCAGGTCTCACCTTTCCGATGGCTAAATCCCCATCCATGAGCCCCGCTAGCTCCTTCTCCAGACCTCCTGCGTCTGCCTCGAGCCAGAGGCTCAGCCCGCCATCAGGTCTCCAGGGCTCAGCTGCGTCTTCTCCGTGGTTGTCACCACTCCCCAAAAGATGCTGAAATAGTCCCCGGGCGCTCCCAGCCCTCCCCAAGGTGCTCACTGGGCAACAGGCAAGACGGACAGAGTTAAGGGCCAATGAAAGCGGGGCAGGCTAGGGGGCGGGGCGGGAAGACCGTTATCTCTCATGTTCTGTGCTTTTCCAGTCAATGGGCAAAGGCCGAAGTCTGGGGTGCTGCGACTCCAGCATAACCTTTCCCCTACTTTCGGGGACTGTTTCTTTCCCTAGTCCCCGGATGTCGGCTCCAAGAAAGCCCAGGGCCCTTAGCCAGGTCCCGTCCACTCCCAGAACAAAACAGAACCCAAAAGAATAGCCCAAACCTTTGGGGGCGCCCTTCCTTCAGCCAGGAGTTCCCTTCCTTCATCAGAGCTGGCAACCCTTAAAGCCCCCTTCCCCCAGGCAAGGTCTTTCCGGCCAAACCAGAGCAATCGATTCCTTCTAGAACCTTCTGCTGCTGCTGCTAAGTCGCTTCAGTCGTGTCCGACAGCGTTCACTTATTCTCAATAGATATTTATTGCAAGCCAAACTGATTCCTGCTTCAGGGCCTTTGGGCTGGCTGTTCCCTCTGCCTGGAAGGCATATCTGCTCAACCCAACTCTCTCGCTGTGTTCACACATTCCTGAATGTTTGCTATTTGTGGAACCTAGCCCAGACAACTGAGAAGCCCCCTGCCACACACACAACCAGAGAGGAGCTCCCCACCCCTTACCTCTTGATCACATCACTGTTTTCAAGGAACTCACAATTGGAAATTTTCTTGTTTACTTACCTATATTCTTCTCTCATTGCTCCCCTGCCCTTTCATGTGAGCACCATCAGGGAGAGAATAGAGGCTCTTTTGCTCTCAGCTGGGTCCCTAGTGTCTTAAAGATGCCCAGCACACAGGAGGCACTCCATCAACTCTTACTCATCTGGCAACTCTATGGCAGTGGACAAGCTAGATCATAAAAGCATAAACACAGCAATAGCTGACAAAGGGGTGGATGCTACCAAGAAGCTAGATGTAATCATGTACACAGCAACACAGGGCTGGCAAAGACTTTATTTTTATTTTTTTAATGCTTTTTTAAAAAATTAGTGTGCTTTCTTTGAACTGCATGCCATGAATTTTCTTTGAGGGGGACGGGGCGCATTTCATGTGGGATCTTATTCCCTGACCTGGGATCGAACCTGGATCCCCTGCATTGGAAGGATTCTTAACCACTGGATCACGAGGAAAGTTCCAGGATTCTTTCAGAAGGTGACATTTAAGTACGGTCCTAAATGATGAGCAAGAGCCCAGCCACTGGAAGATCTAGTGAAAGCCTGTTTCAGGTCAAGGAACAGCTTATGCAAAGCTCCTGGGGCAGGACTGTACCTGGTGTGTTGGAGGAACAGCAAGGAGGCCCATGTGTCTGGAGAACAGTGAGTGAAGGGTGAGAGGAAGGAAAGGAGGACATGGAGGGAACAGGGCAGGTCATGCAGAGTCTTGTGGGCTGTGGCAAGAAGTTTAAGTTAGTCGCATCTTTTTGTGATCCTGTGGACTTTAGCCCGCCAGGCTTTTCTATCCATGGGATTCCCCAGGCAAGAATACTGGAGTGGGTTGCTATTCCCTTCTCCAGGGGATCTTCCCAACCCAGGGATTGAACTTGGGTCTCTTGCATTGCAGGCAGATTCTTTACCATCTAAGCCACCAGGGAAACCTATTGGTTTATACTAAACACAGTGGAAGCTCTTGGGAGCTTAGTGAATGGATGACAAACCTTCTGTATGCTGGCCAAAATGCTAGGTGCTAGGTTTACATGGTAACTCAAACACTCTCCTTGCTCTCAAGAAATATACATCCTGGTGTATGTTTCTCCATGTACCAGCCATTATTTATTCAGGCAACAAAAATTTCAGACCTACTATGTGCTGTGCCAGAGTGTTGCTCTTATCTCACAATAACACATGTGACTGTCACAACTGGAGGTGCTCCTGGAGTGAGTGGGGGCTAGGGATACTGCTCCACACCTCACAGTGCCTGGGACAGCCCCCCACAGGGAATGCCCGACCTTGATGTTAGCAGTGCCTGGCAGGAGGACCCTTGCGTTACGGTGACTGCCTCCCCCCACCCACACACACCGGATACTGGTAACATTAGCTCACTCTTGGCCTCTGCATCTTTCATTTCCTTTTTCACTACTCTGGGTTGGATTTTTAAGGGGATTGTTTGGTTTGGTTTGGCTTAGTGTTCCCAGTCGTAATATTTATTCAGCCTTGGCTTGTGAAGGCACCTTTCCAGAGCTGTCTTGGCAGGTGTAGAAAGTAGGTGAAGGTTGACTTCTGGACTTGTCTCTGCCTCCCCCTCACTCCAATTTATGACTCTCAGGAGCCCCAGTACCCTTGACATAGAACTCCTCCTCATCTTCTTATCCAAATCTGTCTGAATAAATGATCTGGCATTACTCACTTAACACCTACATGGACATTTAGACCCCACAGTCTTCCCTGCAGGATATTTGTTACTTTTTTGTAATTTTATTTTAATTCATTCATTTGTTAATTTATATATTCTTGGCCATGCCACATGTCATGTGAGATCTTAGTTCCCCAACCAAGGATTGAACTCATGCCCCTTGCCTTGGAAGTGCAAAGTCTTTTTAACCACCAAACCACCAGGGATGTCCCCTTTTATAATTTTATAGTTATGGGCTTTAGAAGGCTTTCATATACCCTAGTGAAAAGATGGGGCTTCCAGGTGGCACAGTGATAAAGAATCTGCGTGCAATGCAGGAAGTGCAAAAGACATAGGTTCGATCCCCAAGTCCAGAAGATCCCCTGGAATAGGAAATGGCAGTGCACTACAGTATTCTTGCCTGGAAAGTTCCATGGACAGAGAAACCAGATGGGTTAGAGTCCGTGGGACCACGAAGAGTTGGACAGGACGGAGCACAATGAAGAGATACCTGAAAAGATAAGATGAGGATAAGTACTTGAGGGACAAGAGGACTTTTTGATGCCCTTGACATCATGATCTAATGTGCTGGACACAAATGCGTGCTTCAGAGCAATGCAAAGTTGGAATCTAAAGTAAAATTCCCACAATAGATTCCACCAATGAGTTGAAGTATAAAACACAACACAAGACACAAGAGGATGCTGTGGTCAAACAAGACTGAGGGACACTGTGTTAATAAACAGCTTTGTGGAACTGGTCAGAGCCTTCACAATACTCTGTAACACTCTCAGAAGGTATGAATTTGTAGCATTTCTCAAACATCATTGTTAGGTGTGAGCTTTGTTTCTAATTGTTACTTGATTCATACGGAACCATTTCTGACACAGGAAAACATTTAAAGATACCCACTAGCCTGACTAGGGGCTTCCCTGGTGGCTCAGTGGGTAAAGTGTCTGCCTGCAATGCGGGAGACCCCGGGTTTGATCCCTGGGTCAGGAAGATCCCCAGGAGAAGGAAATGGCAACCCACTCCAGTACTCTTGCCTGGAAAATCCCATGGATGGAGGAGGATGGTAGGCTACAGTCCATGGGGTTGCAAAGAGTCGGACACAACTGAGCAACTTCACTAAACTAGCCTGACTACAATAAAAAAAAGACAACATCAGATGTTGGTGGAAAATATGGAGCAACCAGAACTCTCACCTGTTGTTGGTGGGAATCAAAATGGTCCAACCACTTGGGGAAACTTTGGAAACTTGGGCAATCTCTTACAGTTAAAAATGCATTTACCATATGACTTAGCAATTGTATTCCTGGGTATCTACCTAAGAGAAATGTAGATATATGTTCACAGAAAGACTTGTACATGAATGTTCATAGCAATCTTATTCATAATTGTGCTGAAGAGTAAACAACTCAAATATCCAATAATAGGGGAGTAGATAAACTGGTATATCCATACAACACAATGCTACTCATCAATAAAAAGGAATAAATTACTATTAATTATACATTGAACAACATATGAATTTCAAATGCATAGTGATAAAAGAAGCCAGATGCAAAAGCATATATACTATAAGATTCCGTTTAAATGATACCCAGAGAAGCGGCAAAAGTAATTCTTTGTGGGAATTCCCAGGCAGTCCAGCAGTTAGACACTGCATTACCAATGCAGGGGGCAAATGTTCAATCCCTGGTCAGGGAGCTAAGATCCCACATGACATGTGACTTGACCAAAAAAAAAAGTAATTCTTGGTGATAGAAAGTGGTTCAGTTCAGTTCAGTCTCTCAGTTGTGTCTGACTCTCTGCGACCCCATGAGCTGCAGCATGCCAGGCCTCCCTGTCCATGACCAACTCCCAGAGCCCACACAAACCCATGTCCATTCAGTCAGGGATGCCATCCAACCATCTCATCCTCTGTTGTCCCTTTCTCCTCCTGCCCTCAATCTTTCCCAGAATCAGGGTCTTTTCAAATTAGTCAGCTCTCCACATCAGGTGGCCAAAGTATTGGAGTTTCAGCTTCAACATCAGTCCTCCCAATGAACACCCAGGACTAAATCTCCTTTAGGATGGAATGGTTGGATCTCCTTGCAGTCCAAGGGACTCTCAAGAGTCTTCTCTTCTCCAACACCATAGTTCAAAAGCATCAATTCTTCAGCGCTCAGCTTTCTTTATAGTCCAACTCTCACATCCATACATGACTATTGGAAAAACCATAGCCTTGACTAGACGGACCTTTGTTGACAAAGTAATGTCTCTGCTTTTTAATATGCTGTCTAGGTTGGTCATAACTTCGCTTCCAAGGAGCAAGCGTCTTTTAATTTCATGGCTGTTGTCACCATCTGCAGTAATTTTGGAGCCCTCAAAAATAGTCAGCCACTGTTTCTACTGTTTCTCCATCTATTTGCCATGAAGTGATGGGACTGGATGCCATGATCTTAGTTTTCTGAAT